ACTCATTGTTGAGCGTGAAGTAAAGAAAAAAAAGTGATACTGATCAATAATGATGATAATGATTATTTATGTTATGATTCGTCCTCGATGTTACAGAAAAAACCGTGTTTAATAAAAATTTAATTTGGACAAACGAAGTATGTATCGGCACTCACTTTCGTCATTGGAATTATAACCTAGATGTTGTCGCACGCGCCGGGGACACGACTCGCACGTGCGTATTATCGGACGCGTTAATTAAGGGGTACCTCTAATTAAACGTGTTGGACGCGATCCAGCTTTCTGTCGTAATCTTTGATCTGTTAACTGGGCGATTTGTGTATGCTAGAGTCGATGCTGGTCGAAGGTACTCGAGAGGAATTATTTTATGGTAAATAAACGATGATTTGTTGAGAATAGAATATTTGTGAGATGAGCGAGGATGATTTGGGACAGTGTTTCTCCGGTTAACAGATGAAGAATATTGTTTAAGAGATTGTTCTTGAGAATGAGATTTTTTGTTTCATTTAGGGGTTAAGTTAGGAGGTCCTTTGGTGATGATCCATTTTTTATCACTGCCATTCAATTTAACGAACGTGGAGATATTGTTTTCGACGCAACGTCGAAGGTAGAAGTTGAGATGTTTCTGTGCGTAGGGAGAAATTGGGAGACGAATTATTGATCGATGTAGCTTACTTCCGTTGAGGTTGGTCACTTTGAATGAGTTTCGACTTGTTAACCGGGGATGGAGGTCGTTGACACGTTGATTGCTGTGATGGTCGTCGGTGATTGGTAAAAATTCATAGTTATATGTATTATATATACAATATAATATAATATTATATAATATATATAAATATATATATAATATATAATATATATATATATATATATATATTTATATTATATTTTATATTATTATATATATATTAATATATGTAATCGAATCGTGTTGTTGACAGGTATGATACACATCTTTGGAACAATGACAATACCTTGTCCAACGTATTGATAAATCATCAGAAAACTTCACGAAATGGAAAAGATAAAGTATCTGATTGAATTGCATTGTTAATATTGCACGTTCAGCTGAATGCCACTGCACAAGGTACCATTATTTAGAACATAGAAATCTCAAACTATTGCAATTCAATTTAGTTGTGGCCATCATGGCATTCAATGTGTCAATAATTATTTCCAATACCATTTGCCTTTGTTACAAAAGAACATGTATTTCTAAATTCGAAATTCTCGTGGCAGTCAACGTATTAACCCTCTATAGGACCACGTAACTTTCAAGTCACACTATATTAGCATCCTGTTTAACTTCATCTTGCAAAGTAATGAATCAAATTATGTAATTAACTACAATAATTATGTAATTATGTAATTAACTTCAAACTACCAAATATATTGTTAACACGTTCGCGGACAGTAAGACTGAAAAAATTGGAAATAATCCAGCTTTCTGTCGTAATCTCTAATTAACTAGGTAATTACTGCTATAAAACTCTAATGACTCTGATCGGAGGTAAACGAATATTCGACACAAATTACTTTACGGCGGATAAACAAGAATAATTCTCCAAGAGTAGAACACAATAAAAATAATCTTCATATCTATAAAAATAGAAACAATGCAAATTAGTTCTCCGACAGTTAAAATTCATTCAATTTAAAAAAGGCTATCTAGAATTGAATTGTTAACAATGTGGCTTATAAATGTCAATGTTCTAGCATCCAAGTCATTGGTATCACAATGACAATACTATAGCATTCACATCCACGAACGTGTGATTAATTTTCCATAGACTTCGTTACAATTACAATCAAAAATTCGGCTCATAGAGGGTTCAAACGTTCGCGTCCGATCCGGCAGCAAAAAGGACACTTTGTTTCCTTAATTATGCAACGATCGAGACGAGTTGCACAACAGTCCCCGCCGATTCCAACAGAATCCTCTCGAAGCAATTCTATCCGAACGATAAAGCGCCGGTAAGTGTTGACGATCGAGGAAAACGACCGGTTAACAGGTTACGCATCGAAGGGAAACAAGGTTATCGGTTACGTCTGTTTGATTACGGATCGCCTCGTTCCTCGCCTGCGGATGTACAGTTATTGTTTACGTAACGCATTCGGGCTACGTTGAAAATTCAATTCGCAGTCCGGAGCGTCGCGTCGCGTTTCCTTTTATTTTTTTTCTCTCCTCGTTTCGACACGAAATTCGTATAACAGAGGCGCGCATAATACGTGCACGCGTGCTCGTCCGTTACGCAACGCAACCTCGTACGAACGGGTTCGCGCACACGACGCACGACGGACGGAAATTCGCGTGGCGTGTCTCCGAAATGGAGATTCACCGAACGCCCCGTATTTATCGAACGATTAATCCGACGACGAACAATGCTGTTAAACGCTGGAACTACCGGAAATGCGTCTGGTCCCGAGCGTTCATAGAGGAATCGTGAAAGTACAAATTCCCCTTGATTCAGAATCCAAGATCTCTATACCGTTAGACTTCGTTTCAATGGTTTCTGTTATTCGTAGCGAATCGCGAAACGGAACCTCGAAATCGGCCATTTCTATGGTAGTTCTACGGTGTCGACCGTTCGAGTCCCATGGGTTTTCAGGAAAACTCGGTGCGTTTAGAAACTGAATTGTTTTTCTATTTTTACAATAACGTTTGAAATAGTTACATTGTTCTTAGACGAGCGACGAGAGTGAATAATTAGAAGAGAACTAATTGAGCTTCATCTGATTCCGCTGATCGATACTGGCGCTTTTAGGCGGCGCCGCGCGGAGCCGCCATTGCGCCGCTCGGGACTCGAACGGTTGATCATGGCAAACGTGCGACGTACGTTTGAGTTTTTTCTTTTTCTTTGGTGACGTGGCACGCGTACTTACGTGTTGACTTAGCGGATCATTTCGAATTATCACGATCTCGCGTGGTATCTGTAAATACTTGAGGAAATATATATATCTATATATATGTATATCGAGATGGGTCTGTGATTAGTTTTATTTGATGTATTGTAATTTATATTTCAGCGGCGACCGGTTCGGCGATACCGCAAGGTATTCGGAAAAGTTCGTTAGCGATCGTTAGACGCTGCTGGTTCAGCTTCGCTTGTATTCTTCCTTTTGTATGTTTTTTTTCTTCCTTCTTCTCTCTTATTCGTGTAGGTACAAGTCGGAGATTATAAAAACGCGTACTTATGTGTATATATATATGTATTTATATATATTATATATACAATCGAATATAATATAGTATAAATATATATATAATTATATATGTATTAATTGATATATGTAATCGAATCGTGTTGCTGTTCACACGTATGATACATATCGCTGCTTTGGAAGAACAATGACAGTACCTTCTGCATTGGTAAATCATCGAATGGAATTCCGGGAAGTTTCGCTTGACACGTTGAATGCAGGATTTCGTACAGTGAAATAAATAGAGAAATTTAATACTAGATCGTTCGATTGAATCATTATTGCACGGTGATCTATGAAATGTTAAAACGTTTAATTGAGTTTACTATAGTCATCCGATTCAGCTCCCAAATTGCTGAACAATTGAAAAGCTTGAAATGAAAATAACACAAGTAGATCGTAGCGTGACTACTGTAATACTAAATCATTAATTGCTTTCAATATCATTTGCCTGTTATTGAAGAATATCACTATTCGAAACGCTGGAAATTCTCGTAGCAGTCAACGTTTGATTAACGAAACATTAACTCGTTGACTCATAATGCAGATTTCGAATTTTGCGATATATTCTTTAACAACGAAGGCAAATGATATTGGAAATAATTATTGATTCAGTATCACAGTGTTACTAAGTATTTTTCTCCATCTATGGCAGTCAACGTGTTAATCATTCGTGCCTCGAAAGTTACAATATTCAATTTCTCAAAGTATCGTTTAATTTGAACAAAAGAATCATTGGTTTTCGCGAGGCGTATCCTCGTTCTGCCAGAATAGGGATACGTAGCATAGCTGCTGCGTTTTCCGAAGCACAGCGTCGACCGTGGACGAAATGCGACGTGCGTTATCGCGTATTATTCGAGTTGACACACATATCTACGGCTATCTTTCGTATACAACTCGCGTTGCGTGCACGGGGAGCACAGTTTGGAAACCGTACGGTGTCCTCGTTGGAAATGATGCAACGTGGTCCGATAAGTTTACGTTGAAATTAGCCAGTCGACTCTCAAACGCATCGAACGGTGCACTATGGGTCTTCGGGCTCGTGTATCTCCTTCGCGAAAAAGGAAAACAAAACCGAGTATACATACTACGACTTCGGGACCTCTAATTTGTCGACAGAATTTTTCAATATTATGTATATTTTCAGTATGTTTGACTTAGTATTGCTCTGAACGTAGGCGCTACTGAAATTCTGGCGGCCATCTTGTCGCACTCGCGGGAATCGTACTTAACACTAGATCTACCAGTCAAAATGGTTTCGATTGTTTCACAATTATTGAAATAAATATTCGAGATGATCTTGAAAGTAAATAGCTTTGACTTGAGTACTATAATAAATGAAGAAACCGAAACTAATCTGTTAGAATTTTTATGAGATTACATATCAGTCGTATTAATCCTCGGTAGTTCTAGTGTTAATTAGCCAACCGAATCAGATCTCTCGTTTACTTAGCATTGCTTTTTGTTCATCTTTTCTTTCGTTTAGTAAGTTTTGCAATTCAAATACGATTCTTGTTTTTAGAAAACAGAGTTCCTAACCGAATTCATTGAATTCGATTGAAGATAATGGAGGTTGTAGTTATTGTTTCTTTTAGGTGGTCGTTTAAGTGTTAACAGTTAGAGCAGAAACAAACAGAAGTCAACGACGTATGAATACGTTCTTCTCTTTCTCTTTCTTCCTTTCTCCCAGCACACTCTCTCTGAATGCTTTTATTTCACTTTCGGTTACATTAGTTTTACCTCTTTTGCTCGTTCTCGTTCAGGATACATTATCGTAATATAATCATTCAATCGTATCAATTATTCGAATCATTCCTTTCACGAAACCTTAAGGGAAGTCGGAAAAACATAAAGAGAACCGTGTTCCTACGAATCTTACATACAAAACGAAAATAAAGAATTCACATTGAAACAATGAAATTTTTTAGTTCAACTCGTCACAGGTAAGTACCGAACAGTTTATCTTAATCGCGATTGTCTCGAATATCTCCACTCCGCATTTCCAAATGTCTCGAATAAAACATTCCTCGTTTCCTTATCAATAAGGTTTACGGAACCCGTCAATTTGACGGATACTGAATTTTCTAAACGTTATTTAGTAACAGTTTTCGATCTGGATTCTGAAGTCTGAGTTTCGAAGCTACAATTCTCGCGATTTATATAAACGAACACGTAGTTCTCTAGCAACAATAGAATAAAATATAGAACAAATGTCCGTAAATCTAGCGTTAACCCTTTGCGGACGTTCTTTGAAACATAGAAACTAAATTATACATCGATCGCTTAGATAATTGCAAAGCGAAACTACGTATTGATCTCCTGCTGTAGTAATTAAATCATTCGTTTGACTTAGTATCGCAAATAGCAACGTCTGATCTGCAAAAATCGACATTCCGCAAAGGGTTAATAATCGCGTGAGTCATTTTAACTCGTCCGGTAGTTCCAGTGTTAAACAAATTCACGGAAAGTCAACGAGCGTGTAATTATAAGATACTTTTTTCGACTCCCCTTAAAACGAAAGATCCGTCGTCCTCGACCGAGATACGATTCCGCGGGATCGTTTCCCGTTTCCTCGCGTTCGGTGAAAGTCGCAAGGGATCACTGTCGAACCAAAAAAAAGAGAGTATTATAAAGGGGAGAGAAAAAAGAGAAAAGAAACGGAACGGAGGCAGGATGCGATGTAGCGTTTCGAGTGTCCGAGGCGACTTTGTACGGCGCGAGAGAGCAGTAATGTATTTTGCTTAATTAGATAAACACTAATGGCAGTTGGTAATGTATTACATCTATTAGTATATGTGTTGAAAGTATATATTATACATATGTGTGTGTGTGTTTGCGTGTGTGGCAAGGTGAGGCGAGAAGCGTTTGTAGGAACAGAGAAAAGAGAAAAGAGAAAATTAGAGAAAGTGTTTAACCCTTTGCACTCCGGTTAAAAATAAGCGAATTATAAATCGATCGAATCTCAATAGTCGCGATGTTGGAGTTTCTACAGGAAAATAGTGTTAAGCACACCCGGTATATACCGTTCATCGTCTAATTCCTTTAAACTCCAAGGCTCTTCATCGAAGCTTCAGCCTTGCGTCGGCAGTTTTGCTTGTGCACGAACGAGGCTTCGGTATTTTGGATCACGTTCTATTGGATTACTGGATCGGTTATTGGATCATCCTGATATCCGATCTTCCCCAACTATTACACCGATCTCAGAAACTGTTTGAACTCTAATGAATTTCTAACGGAAATGCATCCTGCAATTTCGATTTTCAAGACATGTTGCTCTAGTTGAAAAATTTAATATGGAGGATCGAGGTATGTCAATACTTAACCCTTTGCGGACGAATATCGATATTCCGGCGAGATCAGATGTTCATGTTTGGAAAACTTGGTGAAAAAATTAATG